ATAGAAGCCCAGTTTAACCCAACCCTCTTTCATAGCGCGGGACAACTGATCCGCATTCATGATAGTCGTCGGGTCGTAGAGTCCGGGACTCGACATAATCGGTCGCGTCTTATATCTAAACCATATATAAGAATACATTACTATTACAGTCACGCAAATACATAGCGACATAAATGAATGGTTAGATCACCTGTAGATGTGATACGCGATCAACGGTGCGTTCAATAGTAGTGTTAACCTGTTATCAACACAAATACAATCATTACTTTCTAACACAACATGTAATCAACAAATCATTCAAACCATTCGCCGGCGATTAGAAACAATACATTGAACGCCAAATGGACGCCATATTCGGGTAAAACCAGCTGTTGGTCACAAAAAGAGATCATTTAATACTAAAGACAATACTAAGACAATGAGTATAATGTGTGTGAAAGTGATTCAATACTGGATTCAATGTATTGCACTGATCTATCGGGTTCTTGAAGTCGGTCTTCAGCTCATCAAACGCTATCACCTGTGAGTGAAAATGGCATTAATTGATACAATTATCACTCATTTGAGACCAATTCATACGTGAAAGACGGCGAAGAATATGAGAAAAGCGTCTAAAATGAGTCCAGAGATGTAGGAGAAGGCGGCGAATGTGAAGGACATCTCACTATATAGTGACGGATCAGTTGTACCACAAGAACCACAATACCTATCGTTGTGCCACTATTTGCGACCTAAAGCACAGCCTCTGCGATGACAATCAGATTGACTGATGGCTTGATATTGAGATCCAAGAAGTGATTCAATTGAATATCGATTGAAATACAAATCAAATATAATTTCCTTAAAAATCTCACTATTTTTTGGTCATAAAAAGTCAAAACACGAGTCATTCATATAAGACGTGACACCAATTGGGGGCACATGTGAGCAAAAGTGAGGGCAAAGGGCTGTAGTGTTGGCTCGTATTGAGCGCTGAAAGTGTTGTCACTTTATAGGCACTAATCAGTGACTGATTGCCAATGAATGCAATGTTTATATGAAAAGTATTGTCAAAACAAATGCAATTTGAGTCCAATTTATTGATTATTACCACTCAATGATCGTTACTCTCATTCCTTCTGACCATCCAATCAGTCGGTCGTGTCTTCGGTCTCACAAATGGCCAAAAGTGGGCAAAAGAAACGCTTTAAGAAACAAAGTTTCAAGAAGTTGTTGAAGGAGTCGACGGACGTCGGCCTCCCCTTCAGTGACCTCGTGTTCAAAGCGGAGGACAAGTCAGTGGCCGTCACTTCGCAGTACAGGACACAACTCGATGTCGGGAGGATTGTGTGGAAGCGACCCAAAGAGTTGGTCGATTTGCCGAACCTGTTGTACGCCGAGAAGTTGGGTCCGGCCGCTGATGTCGAGTTTGTCGGCAACGGACCCAACAAGTGGTTTATCGCCGCCTCTCTGGCCGTCGCCACCCATAAGAGCGTCTTATTTAAGGTTTTATTCAGCGATCCTTTTGTGGAAGACTTGCACTCAATTGAAACGATTGACCACTTTTTCAGGTGATTCCTAAGAGTGAGGGACACTTCTTGAGAGGGATCTTGAAATTCAATTTCTGGCATTTGGGTGATTGGCTGAAAGTGGTGGTCGACGACCGGTTGCCCACATTCGACAATCACCTCATCTTCAGTTCCAGTCGTAGTCCTCAAGTGTTTTGGGTCCCACTCTTAGAGAAGGCAAACCATTTGTAACCATTTTTAGGACATTTGTTGTAAACTTTTTGTCTTAATTTGAAGGCTTACGCAAAGCTTTACGGCTCTTATGAAGCAATGGCTGCCAACGCGTGTCTAACGTATGCGTTGATGGATATGACCGGCGCTACCGTAGAGACGATTCCACTTGAAAGCGATGGCAAAGAACGGGAACAGTTCAGAATGTTGAGCGAAGAACTTGATAAAAGTGCTCTCATTTGTGTCAAAAGCAAAGTATGTTTTGTCGATACAATTGATTTGAGACACAAACTCATGCGTTACTCTTTGAAGGAATCCATTCCTCACAACACCTATGGTTTAGTCAATGATTCCATTTATATCATAAAGAATATCAAAAAGCCTTTGAGCGGAAGTTTTCGTAAAACATTCTCCAAAGACAGGGACAGAGAAAGCGCTTCCATTCGTATTATGTCTACCATTGCTTCCAATCAGAAAAAGAAGTATTGTTTTGAAATATATTAACAATTATTTGATTACACTTTTAATTTATGATTATTCTCTACGTATGCATAGCTTCTCAACGAATTCACAAACTGAACGTTTGCAGGATTTTTGGTATTAAATTACTCGTGGGTTTGAAATTTATATATAAAACTAATTGTTATTTTTAATGTTAATTAGGATTTCAAACGAAGACTTTTGCAAATATTTTGAATCGTTAACAATATGTCGAACGTATACTAAAGACAGAGAGTCTATGATTAAGGGAAACTCGAGCTCTCAGTTCTGTTTCGATGTATTGGAAAGTAGTGCTGAAGTTATGATTGATTTAATGCAAACCAATTGCAAACAATTTATTGGTTTGGGATTTAATTTATATAAAGTGGAAGTGAATCGAAATTATAAGATTCATAATTTGAATCGAATTCCTATTGTATTCATGTCTGAAGCCATGAAAATCCGAAATGTATTCAAACGAATTGAATTGAGTTCCGGCAGGTATTTACTGTCACCCATTTGTTCCGATCCCGAATTGGACCTCTTTTTAAGAGTCTTTACCAATAAGTCTACGAATTTGAAGTAATAACCAATAATATGTGTTTAAAAGGCATTTCTAACTGAGTTTTAATTTCTAATTCAAAGAATTCTGAATCAAGATATGCCCCGAAAGAATGTGTTGCCATTCGTGTCACCAAAATATCCTAAATTTGTGACAAGAATTACTATAATCAGTGCCAATATTCTGGAAAAACAGGACACTTTCGGATGTAAGCAATCCATGTTTAAATTAAACCTAAGTTTTTCTCTGGTTTATTAGTCTATTGAACAAGATTTGGTATTAAATAACGAATTGTGAACTAATTGATTGATTACCTATTAATAGCGGCCAATCCTTACTGTGTCTTCCGATGCGGTCGACAAGTGGTCAAATCAAATGCAATTCACGACACTCTAAGTCCAGAATGGGATCACTTCAGTGCTATCTTCTATCACAACAGATTTATTTCAATCATTGTTGAGGTATTGTATTGTAATGTTATTTATGATGCGATCAATAACACTCAATTGTGTCACAGTTATGGCACCACAACCTCCTAATTGACCATTTCATGGGTCGAGTGGAAGTGTTGCCTAAAATCAACACAAATGCCGAGAACTCGACATCGATTCAAGAACTGGATCTCTATAGTCGTAAAAAAGAGACCAAAATCACCGGTTCTGTCAAACTTCAAGTATTCACTTACGAAGATCTTCGCGCCTTTTAATTCAGATTTTGACGCTTTTATGTGAACTTTTGGTTCACTATTTTAGACGAGATCTCATTTTAATGACAATATTTAGCATTTATTATATATTTCAGTGTATTTTTATCGTAACTCAATGTGAATTTAAAGGTTACTTAACATTACCCGCAATACAAGTATAGTATAAGACTTATTATTCGTATTAAGATATTTGTGTAGAAATGTATGCATTCCTTAATTGTGGTACAAATTGTTGTGAATTTTTATATTAATGGCAGTATTTTTTACACAGAATTAGTGCTAATATTTTCTTAACCGAAAAACATGCAATTTTCTTAATTAAATATTTTTTAATGTTTAACATTTTGTGACTTACAGTATATGAGAAACTATTTACAGAATAACATTCAATACGTATTGATATTGAGTTTATTATATAATAATAGCTTAATATAACTTAATGTCAACTTTCCGTCTGTTTTTATATTTTGTAACTTTTAATGACTTAATCATTGAATTTTCAATGTATTCAATATTTTAATAAATATTTGATATAATTCTTACCAAAATCTACTCAATGTTTGTCTAACAGTAATATAGTTTGTAACCACAATTTAGTATTGAATAATTTGGTTTATAGGATCGTTTAGCCCCACCCATACCCCCACCTATTTTGAGTTAATACTAGAGCAGAGATTCATCGGGAATTCTCGAATAAAGTAACTAGAATGTTCGGGAATAACATCCAGTTAGTTTTGGAGGCTATAATGGAGTAAAAATATGCCATTTTTATTTTCCCGAATACTTCCGATTTTGGCATATTTTGAGAATATTCCTGATTTTAGCCTATTTTGAGAATATTCCCGATTTTGACATATTTTAGAAAAAAAAAATTCCGAAATTTCATGCAAAATAGGCTAAAGCGGACTCTTTTCAAGAAAAACTAAAAATATTATAAAAATACACACAATTTAGAGATAAGATGTCTAACAAAATATGCACTCTATGTGACCACATGTTAAACGTTTTTCTCTCAATTTAAGAATATTCTGACAAATAGAAGACAGACCTAAAGATTGTTGAAAATGGCATTCATTTCAATACAACACGTGTTTCAGTCAGTGTTTCACTCATTTAAATGTTTGCGCTTTTATTGCATCAGTCGTTGAGTCTCACATTTGGCTCACATTTCAATGCTTTCACACAAAGTGTAAACACTCTCTGATTGTCAGCCAAACAGACATCACTCGACATCACTTCCAACGCTTCCCTCACAACACCTCAACACAAACCACTACTCAATCATGTCTTTAGATTTGGATGACTTGAACACGTCGTCGATGGACAAAGACCTGCAGGACTTCCTCGTGATTGAGCAACAAAAGGCTCATTTCCAACAACAGGTCTGTTCAACACAAACCACTACTCAATCATGTCTTTAGATTTGGATGACTTGAACACGTCGTCGATGGACAAAGACCTGCAGGACTTCCTCGTGATTGAGCAACAAAAGGCTCATAAGGTTGTTGTCCAGACAGTAATGTGAGTGACAGGAATGGTAGGTAACTTGGCGAACATACAGTGGTTGTCTAGGTAGCAAACTTACTCTAAACAACCCTATTCACAGAGTGTCTATTCGGGAGGAGTAAGTTGGACTCCAGAAGTGAGACCTGTCTTAACAATTGTGTCGACCGTTTCATTGACGCCTCACTCGCTATCACTCAACGGTTCGCTCAACTCATTCAGAAACAGTCCATGAATTGAGCGCTCATTGGATCACTAGTTGTGATCATTCAGTAATTATTGACAAAATCGACGCTTTATTTCGTTTGTTATTAAAAAACAACTTTTATTTAAATTAGTTTATAATCAATGAATTATTATCTCTTTTTTTCACCTAAAAAATAGTCTTAAAAATTGTAACAAAAAATGAGTGAAACATTAAAAACAATAGTTTTTTAGACGAGTTCTGCCTTCGAGTTAAGAGGCGACGACTTATCGACAATCACTTTGTTATTAGTATTCATTAAAATGGACTCAAATTCTGGATCTAATGGATTGGATTGCGGGACAGATCTCAATGCGGTTAAGTTGACGAGAGTAGAGGCCTGTNAAAAATGAGTGAAACATTAAAAACAATAGTTTTTTAGACGAGTTCTGCCTTCGAGTTAAGAGGCGACGACTTATCGACAATCACTTTGTTATTAGTATTCATTAAAATGGACTCAAATTCTGGATCTAATGGATTGGATTGCGGGACAGATCTCAATGCGGTTAAGTTGACGAGAGTAGAGGCCTGTCGGGCGCCGGACTTGCCGTCCGAGTACTTGTAGTGACGGTAAGACATGGGATGCGGTTGTGTTCGCGACCGGCGGTAAAGCATTTCACGCGAACGACTGGAATCGTATTCACTCGAAGACTCTCCTGTCGGGCGCCGGACTTGCCGTCCGAGTACTTGTAGTGACGGTAAGACATGGGATGCGGTTGTGTTCGCGACCGGCGGTAAAGCATTTCACGCGAACGACTGGAATCGTATTCACTCGAAGACTCGCTATAATTGGATGTGCGGACTGAACCACAATTCAAAATGATTACAATCTGTTTGTAATGTATTATACAGTATAATGAATACCTCTTTCGAGTGCAATGGACTCCACTCTACGGCAGGATGTGGTCGACGACGAGAGTTCTCCAAAGTCTGGGTTAAGACCTGAGCCACCACTAGAACAGCCTTCGCCACAACGGGTTCTCATTCTTGAAAATGATTGTCAAATTCATTAGAAATGGTTATAATGTTCGCATGGTTATAATGTGTGAACGCCTACCGATTCCAACACCTGATGATCGCTCTCTTAAACATTCCCAGAGTTATGGGATAACCGATCACTCGATTTAAGTTCTCATTAGTTTCGGCAAAAGAAGTGGTCAGTGGAGAGACATATATCGGATAACCGATCGGTTGATCACATGAAGAGTTAATAATATTTCTGGAATGAAAACATCTATATTGAGATCCGTATAGAAATAATGGGCAAATCATGTGATACCTGAGCGCTTGTTTGGCGTTTTGAATGGAACCGCGCTCTGGATTGCGATTTCTACAAAACAGACAAATATTTAATTGATTGAAAAGCAATCAATTGAAACAAACCTTAAATAAATCAACTCTTGCTGTTGTCCGGCCCACAGCCCTCTCACACACTCTCTGTTAACCTATCATTTAAATCATTAAAAATGGTTTCAAAGTATTATAAAGAAATGGTGACAAACCTTAATGACTCTGAATGAAAGGTATCTCTTGTTCAACATAATAATCTTGTACTGATCGGTCCCGTCATCGAACACATGCCTTAAGGCCAACAGTGAGGGCACATTCGATAGGACGGCATTCCTCCAGACGGGGTCCGCCTCATGTGAAATGACCAGATTTTTCTGGTAGTTATTAATAGCGTCGAAAAGCGTGGGATTGTCGTCGTATTCTTCGGTGGACATGAAGTGGTCCTGATGTAGCTTAAGGGCCATTCGCACTGTTCATCAAATACATATGTATATGAATTAACACTCACCACACGGTTCAGTGCATTGATTACCTGCGGGTGCGATCACTTTGCGCAACAAATCCATGTCTTGGAAAACCCACTCGTCTTTTGGTGAAGTGATACGAAAGTCTCCTTTGAAAAGNCGTGGGATTGTCGTCGTATTCTTCGGTGGACATGAAGTGGTCCTGATGTAGCTTAAGGGCCATTCGCACTGTTCATCAAATACATATGTATATCGATTAACACTCACCACACGGTTCAGTGCATTGATTACCTGCGGGTGCGATCACTTTGCGCAACAAATCCATGTCTTGGAAAACCCACTCGTCTTTTGGTGAAGTGATACGAAAGTCTCCTTTGAAAAGAGCGTGTAATCCAAACAACAAGAACTCAACGCTTGTGAATGAGTTGTGATGGGAAGCGGCGCTGAGGGCACGTCTGGCCAATAGACTCAGACTCAGACACAGGGATACGAGTAGGTTATCCTTCTCGTCGTCCACTTCGAAGTCTGGTTTCAATGTTTTAATCCGTTGTCTCAAACAATAGGCGATCCAATCGGCGTAAACATTGCAAAAACTCGATCGAGTGATTCCCGAACTTCTGGTGTCGTAGTCTTCGTCTACACTAGAGTTAAAGATGGGATCGAGTTCTACAGCGTTTGGATCTCTCATTAAACTAATCGCTTCTTTAATCTCCGGATTACTAATCCATTTTTCAAGACTTTTAGATGTAATGCAATAATAAATAATAGATTTGATGTAATAAATAATAAGCGCTTTTCTGAGGTCATAGGGCTGTAGCATAGTTTGGGCCGAATTGTCACTAATTGAATAGCCCTCCAGAACGTACTTAATATGTGTCACTTCCCACGACAACCACCGCTGATTGAACGCCGCGTTTATCGACAACATTCCCGGCACGTGACCTGAAATGCCATTTTTGTTAGTCAAATCATTTGTTAAACATTAGTCAGTGTATGCATACCGGGTTCGCAACAACAACAGCCCTCGTCTTCGCTCACGCCTTCACTGATGGCCTCGACTTCTCTCTGTTGACAATAAGTGCCCCTAAACTCGAGTCCTCTGACTTGGAATGTGACCAAACCGTTGCCCAATTCGATCAAATGGACCAAACAGTTCAAGTTATCACTGGCCAACACAAAGCAATCGCCCTGTGATACCGGACCCCATCGACCCAACAACAGATCCCCATAGAGTGAGTGCTGTAGAGAACGCGTCAAATGTTCGTAAAATATTGAATTCAGATTATTATCGTCGGCTCCCAATTGACTCCTTTCCAGTTGTGACGCCAATCGTGTGTTTGAATGATCCACTCGTTTAGTACTGAAATATTAAATCAAACGTCAAATCCGAGTATTTTTGTGTGTTTTGGATCCAAATAACGCTTACTTGTAATCCCTTTCCCAGAATTTAATTGGTCTAACATATGAAGCAAAGAATATAGCGCTGCCGAGGATTGGCTGCAACGGCGCCGACAGTATTGACGATATGAGCGCCTGAACGAAGAGCATCGCCGAGTCTAATGAGAAGTAGAGTTATTTAATTGATGAACAATTAAAGTGATAATCAAGAGGTGGAGCAGCACTTACGCGGGACACTGAATGGTTGTGCGAACGCGTGAAAGGCACTGCCCCATGTGATCTGCCACGGGGCCACGTATGTCACCACAAATCGTACTTTCAATAACAATTCATAAAACTATAACCAAATTGACATTCAATTAATATTGAGTTAATTTGTACGAAAAAGAAAGTATACTTTATAATAAACGATGGAAAATATGAAATAATTTAATAGAAACGGTTCCGAACAACTTCTGAGGTCGAAATTAAAGAATAAATAAGTGAACAGAATTATAATGTGATTGTGAGACGAGTCGTTGAAACCACTTCTTAGGCATTTGAAGCCACAAACCACTACTATTAAAGTCCCTAAACTGTTGACACAAATTGGCATTAATATTGAATTAAATGACAAACAAACCAATCACTTACTATAGACCGTAATTTGTAAGCAATACATGGCTATCATTAGTGATGGCACTTAAAAAGACTAAGGGATATATAATATTCTTCTCAATGAGCCAAAGCCAGGCGTGAAGTTTCTCAAACCACATCACTTTCGCCGGTCCTATCGGGACATCCAATCGCTATTAAATTAACGCTCAAACAATGGGCTCAACATTCATACCTTTCACTTCAAAGTGATTGTATTCTTTAGACCTGAACACTGGATGCGCTAAACAAAGCCACGGAAGTTGTTTACGGAAATGGTTTAATATATAATGCAGAATAAAACCCCATACGATAGCCCAACCAACCAGAAAGACCTCAACGTATGGCTGCAATCAAATATTACAATCAAATGTTACTAATAAGTAGAGGAATAAAATATTGTCAAATCTATAACTCGCCTGTAATGTAAAAATAGTGCTGACATGAGTGGCGAACACCACAATCGTTATGAACACACATATAATTAAGTCCGATTGTAATCTCATTATCTATTAATTGATGTAAACATTAATGGTTTGATTAATTGAAATGATAAATACGAGTTCACTTACGACAGTATTTTCAAGTTTGATGGGCAACGGGTCAGTGATGTCCTGTTCCTGTTTGTCACTGGAATCCAAGTCTTCGTTTCTCATTTGAGTTAAGTTTTGAGTTTCGGCGTTAAGTTTGAAATTTTTAAGTTTAGATGCCTTGCATTGAAAACATTTTTTAATTAGATTCCAATAAATGGATGGATCGCTAGAACTTCGGCTCAAATGATAACAAGTGGCCAACAATAGGCCGCAGAACACAGAGAATGTGGCCGTTTGTGTGCCCTTATTGGTCATCAATGCGATCAATGCAAACGAATAGAGCAAACAAACGGCAAAAATACTTCTTAAAAGACTATAAGTGGCAGAAATGAGACCCATTGTGGCCGCAGTGCCGCCCAATAGGTTTATATCGATTTGTTCGAACAAATACATTAGAAAAGTGCTTATTTGTGGCAAAAGACCAAAACTGAACAAAAGTGGAAAACTCAACAAAAATATTAAACTCGAGTTCCGAATGAATTCTATAATATAATCATTGAATAAATCGATGCCATATATAATGAATGATATATTTTTGTTCGTGTTTTCCATATAATTTTGACTTAAAAGTAGTATAGAACTGGCGATACAAAAATATACGGGTCTACTGTATAGCGTCACCCGATTGTAGCCGTGTGTCGGCGACGCCGCGTCCGGCTGTACGCTCTGTACGGATAAAGCAATATATTAGTTATCACATCTCTTCCAACACTAGTGCTGACAATACCTTCAACAGTGTGTACTGAGAGCTGGCAATCACTAAACAAAAGACAATTAGCCACAAATCATGGAAGAAGTTCTTGTAGAGAAGCATTGAACCAAATACTGCCACCATTACTGCCAATAATATGGAAGTAATCAATTCAAATGTAGTTAAACTTCTGTCCAGAAGAGCCAATAGAGTCAAGCGATCGAATCGGACTTTGATTGGTTTGAACGGAAAGATCCAAAGTTTGTAGTATTGGGAGGGTTTGTGTTGGGGAACGGGTGACGCAAATTCGCCGAATCTTAAGGGATACATATCCGACATATTGTTCGCATTAAGTCCTGTACCGGAGTTCTGATTGAAGAGAATACTCGTCGCTAAGTCCAAACGTCTTGCGCCGCGATTTCGTGGAAATGCTGTGACTGTGAATGCAATCATTGAAATGCAATTAAATATTGAATTAAATCAAACAAAAATCAAATCATTCAATGACTAACTCGGAAATGAATCGGCGAATAATGTGCTCGCGTTTGGCTGAAGAACTCGACTGTAATCGTGAGACGAATCGCTAAACTGTTGGCGCAAAAGACTAGTGTCGAGCAGTTTGGGTGTGTGTAAGACATTGGCCGGAGTGTCCAATACTACTGTCGATCCCGACGATGAACCTGAAGAGGAGTTCCACTTGTGATCGGCCGCCTGAGCCCTCAACGCCAATTCAATGTCGAGCAACGCCTTATCGCTATTCATGAGTCCGCGGGCGACACCACTGCTGTTATCATCGAAAGTATATGTCAACCAATTTCCGCGTTCGTCTTGAAACACATGAACGGCACCGATATTAGTGTCTTCGTGTGATTTCGCCAAATGAGTTCCCGGAGCCGACAGAATGCGAGCCAACATATAAGGCGGCGGACCGTTGTCTGCGTTAATGTTTTGAGACGATTCCACACCATAACGGCACCGATATTAGTGTCTTCGTGTGATTTCGCCAAATGAGTTCCCGGAGCCGACAGAATGCGAGCCAACATATAAGGCGGCGGACCGTTGTCTGCGTTAATGTTTTGAGACGATTCCACACCAGTTATATGAGAGGCGCCGGCAATCATATCATTATTGGGTTCCGACTGAACCATACTTTGTTGCGAATAAAAGCTGGCGTTCGGATCCATTCTCTTAGAACTCTTTCTTTTTCTCTGTAATTCATTCCTCAAAACCTTGAGTTCACTGTTCTGTACAAAGTCTTCGCTTTCGGTTTTAAATGGCATTTCAGAAAGTTTTTTAATTAAATCACTTTTATTATCATAAGAAGTCTGCTTTGAAGGACCGGCAATACATTTAGGCTCGAGTGCTATAGAGTTGTTGCGTGAGTTGGAAGCGTTGCTCTTATTATCCATTTCTGGTGGCAATGAAGCGGTCAATGGAGTGGTTTCGTCGTTCAAAGAGGTTGACGAATGACTTGATGTAAGAGAACTGCTTCTGGATGTATAGGAATTGAGTTGGAAGCGTTGCTCTTATTATCCATTTCTGGTGGCAATGAAGCGGTCAATGGAGTGGTTTCGTCGTTCAAAGAGGTTGACGAATGACTTGATGTAAGAGAACTGCTTCTGGATGTATAGGAATCGCTTCCGTTATGACTGCTTTCAATATCTGATTCACTGGAAAAGCATATTTGCAGAGCTTTTTTGTTTAATTCGTTACTCGAAATGGTATTATCAATGAATTAGAACTGCTTCTGGATGTATAGGAATCGCTTCCGTTATGACTGCTTTCAATATCTGATTCACTGGAAAAGCATATTTGCAGAGCTTTTTTGTTTAATTCGTTACTCGAAATGGTATTATCAATGAATTGCAACACTTTATCACACTTTTTATTCATCGAAATCTTTCCAGAACTGCAAGACTTCGACACTTTTCTTCTGTTTAAAGTTCTCCGCGGTTTTGACGACTTCTGAACCTTTCGTTTCTTGACTTTTGCCGAGAAGTTAACGACAAGAGAGACATCACTTTCGTCGCCGTCATCGCAATCACTGGTTTTGGGTTTCTTGGGTTGAGTCTCCACTTCAATCAATACATGCGCTTCTTTTTCACCCAAACTTTTGGTCGTTTGCTCTGAAAGGACGGGAGAACTACTTATGGTCTCGTATTTAGTAGAACTCAGTTTAGGACTATTTGAGGCTTTGATGCAGTCTTTGTTCTGTTGGCTAAACATAGATATATTTTCGTTTAGATTTGGTGTCGTTCTCCTCAACATATTCTCATTGTCATCGTTGGACGCGTCCACTAAACTGCTGTCCACTCTTGTTGTGCCGATTATCTCAAGACTTACGGGATGTGACGGCGGAAGAGATGAGATTCGTTTGTCTGCTGAACACTGAGTTGTTTCCAATTCACTGCGAGCTCTGCGGACAATATTGTCCACACGTTTGCGACTCGAAGGCGGGTCATTGGCTGCATTGGTCTGAGCCCTGAGCACTGCCGGGTCCTGAGCCATAAATCCCAACTCAAGTGACGTACCCTTCAGTCTCTCACAACTTTCCGTGTCATCCGTTATACTCATATCACTTCCGGCGTTCAGATGAGACACAAATTCGTTTGACTCCAAATCGACCGCCAATTCCGACATAAACTCACAGTTTTGGCCCAACAGTAGTGCCGGAGCTGTCATTAAAGTGGGACTATTGCTGACCGCGATCTCCGATGTGTTGATAGTCTCGCTGTGACTCTTAGACGGTTCTGAAGAGATGCCAATCGAAGAACCAGAACTGTTTCTGTGGTGGACATCGACCTCGAGATCAATGACACTCGACGTCGTGTTATTTGCGGCCATTCTTTCAATGCAATCATTGCTGTTATTATCGTTGATATTACTATTACTTAAGTTGCTGTGAAAGAGAGCAATGGATTCAGTTCTTGTGGTCGATTGGTTCCCATTAGTGTTGTCCGCGATTACAATCATTTCGATATTTTCTTTCATCGCTTCACTGTTTTTCACTGATTTATCGTTTCCTTCAAAGCCTTTCATTTGGAAGTGTTTTAAGAGCAGTAGACTAACAAGGATTTCTATACGCTTCTCTTTACTTAGTTAGTTAATTAACACAGTAACCTAAGTGGTTTACCAGTCTGTTACTCACCTTCTGTACGGAATCTTAACTCTGAATTTTCTTCGACAACACATTCGCCGAAATCAAAGAGTCGGTGAAGATATGCGTTCATCAGCTTTATTGTGGTGAATATGACGGCTATTATCACACAATAGGCGATCCATGGCTTCCAAGAGGTGGCCATCAATTGGATGACAAACGGAAGACAAAGAAATATAAGCCATACGTAAAGATGAAACACATTTGAGAAATGGCTTTGTTTTGAGTCGAAAAACCAGCCGCCGGTCAGAGACGCCCACATCCCTGATGTCAGGATTGACACCGACTGCGAACCCATCCCTTCCTCCTCAGCACCGCTTCACCACCTCTTCAACACCTGATCCGCAATCACTCACTACTCACCACCCGATCATCACTTGAACCGCATTCATGTCTAATCTCGTTGTGTTGACAGTAATTGTGGTAAAAAAGTGTTTGATTTGAACCACATTTTAGTGATTCAATGAAATTACAAAATGAGTAATAATTATGAGTTAATTGTTTGACAAATATTTACATCAAATCATATGTTTGTTTCATTTCAACGCTATTCACATACGATATGACATAACACTCAATAACAGAACCCTATAATAGGGGTTACGATCGGAAACACCGATCATTAATAAATTGTTGTCAATTAAACAAGTTGACAAGCTAATTTTAAATGAGCATATTTATTTTAATAAATACACAATTAATTTCCAATAAACAACGATCGGTGAAATTACGGACGTTTATGATTTGCCGAAAGCAACCTATATATAGATTCCCATATAAGGAATTCCCAACAATTAATGGATACTTTGGTCAAACTTTTGCCATTTAATGAATTTTTAGTCCCATAGATTAACATGCAAAAGTTGGTACTTTTTACACTCAACGCCTCTCTCCAGACATGAGACCATAGGACTCAAGAGTGAAGAATGAAGACAAAAGCGGTGACAATGTATTGGTTTTGTTGGACACAAGTGTTGATAGGGTTTGCGGCGGTCGTCGGCGGACAAGTGATGGGTCCGCGGATGGGATCAGTTGGCGACCGGGAGCTGGACGTAGTGGTGGGCGGCGGCGGTGTCGGGCAGATAGTGGGCAGCCATTTGGCACATCACGGCAAGTGTGAGCCCATAACCATCCCGTTGTGCAAAGACCTCAAATACAATGAGACAATACTTCCCAATAATCTGAATCACATGAAACAAGAGGACGCGGGTCTGGAAGTGCATCAGTTCTTCCCACTCGTGAAAGTGCAGTGCAGTCCCGATCTGCAGATGTTCTTGTGCTCGATGTATGCGCCCGTCTGTACCATTTTGGACAAACCCCTCCTCCCGTGTCAGTCGTTGTGTCAATCGGCCAAAAAGGGTTGCGAACTACTCATGAATAAGTTCGGCTTCAAATGGCCGGAACCGCTCAACTGCGACAAGTTTCCCACCAATGATGACAAAAGGCGTGGAGTCCTGTGCTTCGGTCAGGACAGCGACCAGTCGTCCGATGGCTTGTCGGGCGGCGGACCGTATAAGACGTTCCCCAACACCGCTTCCACGAAACCGTTCGGCAAGAACTCGAACACAACCATAAGCCGCGACTTAGGCTTTGTCTGTCCCGTCAATTTCGTGACGCCTCCCGGTATGGACTATGTGTTCCGCATTCAGGGCAAAGACCACAAGAACTGCGGCGCGCCGTGCGATGGCATCCTCTTCAACAAAGACGAGCGACGGATCATCCGTTTGTGGACCGGTTTGTGGGCCATCCTGTGTGTGGTGTCCACACTGTTCACAGTATTGACATTTTTCATAGACACCAAACGCTTCCAATATCCCGAGCGACCCATCATTTTCTTAAGCCTGTGTTACTTCTGTGTCGGCGTTATTTACATATTCGGCTTCGCTTTGGGCGACTCCGTGGCCTGCAATCAGCCCTTCCCGGCGCCCGACGGCCAGACAAACGTCCAAATGATTCGTACGATCACTCAGGGAAACAAGAAGGAGAAGTGCACTCTTCTCTTTATGACGCTATACTTCTTCACGATGTCGTCAGCCATTTGGTGGGTTATACTGACCATCACTTGGTTCCTGAGCGCCGGACTCAAGTGGAGCCACGAAGCGATTGACAACAATTCTCATTACTTCCATCTGATGGCGTGGGCGTTGCCCGCCGTCAAGACAATCACCGTTTTAGCGATGAACAAAGTGGAGGGCGATGTGTTGAGTGGTGTCTGTTTTGTGGGCCTCTGGAACCAGTCGTATTTGGCCATCTTTGTGTTGATACCACTGCTGGTATACCTAATATTGGGCACATTCTTCCTGACGGCCGGCTTTGTCTCGTTGTGGAGAATCCGGACACTCATGAAAATGGACGGAACCTTCAAAACGGATAAACTGGAGAAACTGATGCTCCGGATCGGCTTCTTCTCCGTGCTATACCTGTGCCCCGCAATCCTACTGTTGGCCACCTATTACTACGAGCACAACAACATCGACTCCTTTCTGCTCTCGTGGCTCAACGATGTCTGCCATAAGCCGGAGTTCGGTATCCCGTGTCCGGCGCCCAAAGCCGACATCAAGCCTTCCAAACCATATCTAAGCGTATTTCTAATTAAGTACATCACATGCCTTATGCCTGGAATCACGTCCGGCTTCTGGATCTGGTCTGAGAAGACATTGAGCTCATGGGCTCATCTGTTTAGGCGAATGTTTTGCCTCAAAACCAGAACCGAAGCCTATGTATAGCCTATGCCTTAAACTTAATTGTAAATCAATGTATAAGATGTGAGCTTTTTTACATTTATTAGTTAGTGTTCATTGCATTAACGCTTTGATATTTGCCACACTTTTTGCGGCAATCAATCAAATCTATGCCATATTTTATTATAATAACTAACACTCCATTCGCGTTATAATGTGTTTCTTTCACTCAATCAATTGGTTCGCAAACAAAAAGCTAACAAATAGTTTATGACTTAATCCATGGGTGAGACCACAACTGTTTTGTCAGGTCTGTCCCGCCGTTCATATTATTATGGATATGACTTAACAAACGGTTTGGTTCATTGACACCACAAATACAGAGTTTTGAATCAAAACATAAATGAAAAAGTTTATGGATTTCTCTAAACAAAGATTTTTTTGTGGATAATATTTAATATTGAGAACCCGTTCCACAAAATCTATACAACTTTTTGGGTTTGATTTCTACTTTCGAATGGGATTTCAATCTTATTTTTGGACTCAATTTCTTGTAAATCATTTATTATCGAAGTCTTCGCCCCAAAAGACTTTCAAAAAACTGTTTTTTTACTTAAATTATTTTTATTTTATACACTGCTCTCGAAAAATGGCCCAAAAAACTATTTGTTGTATTATTTGACTTAAATTTATAATTATTATAGGATTTAAAAAACTTTTATAACTTCTTGTTAATTATTATGAAAACCAATACACGTTTTGAATTTTTAAATTATTGTTCATTAACTGAATTGATTGTAAATATTAATTGATTTTCATTCATATCATGTATTATATTATGAATTAAAACTAATAAATCACTGAATATTGAAATTAATTTTTTTGTA